AAGTACTACAAGGAGCTATTTCTCCCTGATCTGATCCGTAAAAATAACTTTCATAGGTGTAACCTTATGTAGCCAGGTTCCTTCAGTATATTAAATAATAAATTCTATTTTTAAATTAAAATTGTTGTTATTTTTATATTTTATTATATTCATTTAATTATATAATTATATTAAATCACAACATTATTTTTTTGGAATGGTCTCACATTTATGTTACAAATTACTTTTAAAATATTTATACCTTTAATTTTCAATTACGTACAATTATATTGTTAGTTACAGACATGTAATCTATTATTGGGCAGACATCAGCTACAATATCCATCCCAATGTGGCAGACACTACTGGTCAAAAAAGGCAAGAAGACCACCATATTCATCGGCCTATTAGTGAGCACCACTCTTTATTTCTAATTAGACTATTCATGGCTGCACAGAAAGGAAATAGGAATGCTATAACAATTACTTTATATTTGTTTGTGAAGTTAATGTTTAATACAGCCCATCAGCATGCTATTAGTTTTTATATTTTTATTTATTTTTTAAACTGGAATAGTTTCCACTTTTTCATCCCTCTTTCTCCTCTTCTCTGCAGGTTTATATCCCAGCTCTAATTGTGATATCCCTAGTGAAAAGTAATTTACCCGTCTTCATTATTATGTCCATGCTATCTGGCACAAGTCTGGCAGCCCTCTATCTACTCCCTTGGTAATTGGTAATTGGTAATTTAACTCTCATGTAATCTCTCTTTTACTGTTAAAGCCCTGTTAATGGGTCTGGGTGGAACACATATTCCACCCAGTGTTTTCCTCTTTATTGAAACGTTATGCTAACCCAGATGGTGGTCAGCTGGGAATTAGTTGTATATGTTCAACATTATAATGTTTGGTTGATTCAGAATGACATCATACTGAAATTCGATTGCAACTGAAACTGAGACTCTCAGACCAGGCAACTTTTTTTTCAGTTTTCTATTGTCCAATTTTGGTGAGCCTGTGCAAGTCGTAGCCTCAGTTTCCTGTTCTTAGCTGACAGGAGTGGCCTGTCACTCTGCTTCAAGGTTTGACGTGTTGTGCATATCAGAGATGTTCTTCTGCATACCTTGGTTGTAACAAGTGGTTATTTGAGTTACTGTTGCCATTCTATCAGCTTGAACCAGTCTGATTATTTTCGCCTGACCTCTGGCATCAACAAGGAACTTTCACCACAGAAGGTAGCGCTGATCTAAAAAAACACCCCGTCTGGCACCAACAACCAATGCCACATTCAAAGTCACTTAAATCATCTTTCTTCCCCATTATGATGCTTGGTTTGAACTTCAGCAGATCATATTGACAATGTCTACATACCTATATGCATTGAGTTGCTGCCATGTGATTGGCTGATTAGATATATGCTTTAATAAGCAGTTGAACAGGTGTGCCTAATAAAGTGGTCAGTGAGTCTATATATATATTTGAATATGTATATGAAACGTCATACTGTATAACCAGGTTATTTATTTATTTTAGGTCAATGTTGCCAGATGTAGTGGATGACTTCAAAGTCAAGAACCCATCGTGCCGAGATCTAGAACCATTGTTCTACTCCTGCTACGTTTTCTTCAACAAATTTGGAGGAGGCATGTCTGTTGGAATCTCTACTTTGGTACTACAGTAAGAGCTTCCTCCAATCAGATTTTTTATAGTTGGGAATACAGGTGTTGAATCCAAAACAATTCAGCACTGAATGAGAATAAATGGCAGTGGAAGGGATGTTGGTGCATGCCAGCATTCATTCATTTTCAAACATCTGTGCATCACATCTTTTTTTTGGAATCCCCATAAACCGACAGCTTCTGTGATTCATTCATGTGAAAGCTTCATGTGATGTTCTCCTTCCCTACCTCTTCAGCTTTGCAGGATACAAGTCTGGTGCTTGTAAACACAATCCAGAGGTCATATATTCGCTGCAGATGCTCTTTGCTCCGGTGCCAATCTGCCTGCTGCTCATTGGCATGGTGATTTTTCGCTTCTATCCTATCAATGAAGAGCGACGACAGAAAATCCAGGACGCATTAAGGAAAGCAGGGTATGTGTTTCTGTCTGTTTACTTAGAAGACTGAAGGTCCTGATCAACCTGATGGTGTTTATTCAGCTCAGTCATGTGACATTAATGCTTTCTACAGAATTTAAAAAGAAAATGGGACAGAAGCAATGCTCACATCAGAAAGAGCATGCTGTTTTTTTTCTTGTCGGTCACCACAACTTCCTTTAACACAGAAGCATCTTCTTATACACTGAAGATCAAGATTTGTTTACTTCAGTGGAAATTAAAGCATATTATGTTCAGTGATGTCTTCATGTTCTTACACTGTATTCCAGTTTTGCATAAGGTGCTTGACAAGTTGCAATAGCTGTAATAACTGTGCCATCACTGTGTGTTATCTTGACATACACAGGACAGAGACCGGCTTGAAAGGAGAAGAAGAGCTGAGCCTATGAAGTAATCAGTGGCTTTCACTACTTTTGTAACTGCTGAACTGTTGATCATGAACATGCTTTGTTTTCATCTCAGTGTAAAGGCTGTTTCATTGTGCATTGTGAATATTTTTCAGTCTTGCTTCAGGGGACCTCAACCCCATTTAGGAGTTTCACTAATCATACACACACATTTCAGGTCAGGGAGATCTCTACTAATGAGCTGAATTAGATGAATAAAAGAGACATTCAAAACATGCAGTGCTATGGGGCCCCTTAGGACTAGAACTGAGAAACATTAGTGCACTTAAAGGTGCAGTGTGCAATTTCCGCACCATATACAGACAAACAGATACTCCTGCCTCAAACCCATATTAAGCCAGTGTTGCTGTGTGAAAAATGTTTATATCAACCAGTGAATAAACCAGCAAATGGTTTACTGATAACTGTCTCTGCATATTACAGTTCTTTAAAATTGCTAACTAAAAAGTTTTAGGCTATTTGAGGCACATTCAGTGAAAGCATTCACTCATATAGTGAATCTTCAGACCAAGTTTGCAGAACTGCAAGCACATTATCTGTTCTTGTTTTTAATTAGTAAAAAACTACTATTTAAACGCCACACTTAATTATTGATTACTTACACCTAATGATCATGTGTGAAGACTTTAATACATGATACACATAATGTAAATCTACTAGGGCTGTTAAACCGATTAATCGCGATTAATCACATCCAAAATAAAAGTTTGTGATTACATAATGCATGAGTGTGTAAGATATATGTAATATATATTTATATATAATATAAATAATATCTAAATATGAATATGCATGTAAATATTTCTTAAATATATACATGTATGTGTGTGTATTTATATATACATATAAATATACACGGTACACACATACATTGTGTAAACACAAACTTTTATTGTGGATGCGATTAATCACAATTAATCGATTTGACAGCCCTAAAATATACCTAATTTGATCACTTAGAAATTAAAACTCAATGATTTGAGCAACAAATGAATTTTTCACCCTTGCATTTCTGTTTACAGTACTTTGTAAATATACGAATATGCATACAAGTTATCTTTATTTCTATAATTCTTTATACAATATAGCAGTAATAAAATTCTGCTGTAAAGTGTCATCATACAACTCAAGTCAGCGTTGATTCAGTTCAGTTCAGTTCAAGAACTGTAAGGCTCATCAATTGTGCATCCACACTGTATATACAGTGTATTTTTGTACATACATGTACATGTGAGTGCTAGGACAAATTCCTGTGCCCTCCACTGCACACTGAACAATCAAAAGATACAAGATAGTAGTGTTTTACATTTGTCATATCCATGTATAGTTTGGCATGTACGATATCATTTTATGTTTGTGTGAAAAGTTACTATGCAAAAATATATATTTTTTTATAAAAGTTAAAATAGTTTTGAAAGAAGTGTTTGATTTTGCAAGAGATGCGTAATGTTTTGCATGTTGTGTGCATGTTTTGTGTGTAGAGTTTAGAGAAAAGGAGCTATAGTTTCAGAGACTAGAAGCAATTTTAAAACAAGTGTAAGCTGGGAGAGGTATTATAACGTTGAACATACACAGCTAGTCTGAGTGTTTGTAACGGCACTTTTATTCCACAATGGTAATGGCGATAATGATGTAAACGTGTATAAATAAACAGCAACGTGTAAATATGTGCATGTGCATGGTCTTCTGTTGCGCATGGCGCCCCCTTGTGGCCGATAGTCCGATTAATAACGTGTTGGGTGACTTGACATGTGCATGGTAGAGACCTGGGGGTATTAGGATATAGTTGCTATGGCTACTTACATACCCTGAGAGTTACCTCCGTTTTAGGAACCGAAAGCTGAGTTTATCCGCTTACTAACCCTTAAACATACCGGGGTTTATCACATAACCTGCTTTCTGGAATACCCCCCTGATGAAAATAACAGTGGGTTGTTGATGTTGATGCCTAAATAACAAATGTTTTATCGGGTGCGTTTATGCTGGGATGTTACAGAACTTACTATTTCATGTAAATTTCATGGATGTACTGAAAAATCTATATATGCTAGTTTTATGCGGGCTTTTGCAGGAGGTAGCGGGACAAAACATGAATGTTGCGGGTGGGAGTGGGACAAGATAACATATCTGCGGGTGTGGGACTGAACAATTCGTCCCGCGCAGTTCTCTAGTTCATGGAGGTGGCGTGGGAGGTGGATATGTGCTACTCCAGTCACCCAGATTACAACACTATAGATGAAATGAGTGTTGAGAGCATGTTATGTAACAGGTACTTCACAATGAGCTGGAGGCTGGGGGATTCATCCAACATTTTTTTGTACTTAAAAAGTTGTATTTAAAAACGTTATTTGCTTTTTAAAACAATAGGCTAATTGTATTTTTCACTTACTGGGCATAACAAAGGGGACGGGTCACATTTGTCATCAGTAGGATTTATGTTATGTTAAATTAGTGCGCTGCTATTGGGCCCTCTCCCAGTTTTCTCGCTGCGGTCACGTGACCCGACAGCATCGCTCCTCTCTGCCTGCAAACTGCTGCGAGCGAGACTGTGTGCGGGCAGTGTTCTCTTCAGAAACATGGGAGTAGAGATCGAGACCATAACCCCCGGAGATGGTAAAATCACCTTAATGCAGCTTCTATTATGCAAAGTAGAGTTTTATTTGTCAAGCTGCGTGCGTTTAACAGCATTATATTATTGCTCTTGTCTCCTGCTCCCCGTTTCTCCTCGCGCTGCTTTTACAGGGAGGACTTTCCCCAAAAAAGGACAGACATGTGTGGTGCATTATGTTGGTGAGTTGCATTTCAGATTTTCTTTTGGTGGTGTACTTATGTTGTATTTTTGTGGCCGTATATGGATTTTTGTATATGGGGAAAATATAAAACGGACTTAATTGAGAGAAAAAGGTTAATGCATCTTTTCAAACAGACGTGCAATCCGACGTTGAGTTTTAAAAATTGCATATATCTGAAGAGTGGCAGTGCTGTAAAGATACAGTAAAATATACAAAGGGAGACAAAGCTATTATGCATTATTAGTTGTGTATTGTTTGCACGCACGGGCATTTGTCCGCAGACATGATCCTCGTCTGACAGCTGAGACTGAACAGATTTTATAGACGCTCGTGTGATTCAGTCTTTGTTGGACAGAGATTGGCGGCGTCGGATAGACGGATTATCACTGTCTGGACTGGAGTGAGTCGACCCCTGGGATGTTGTGATTGCCTTTTAATCGTTCAACTATAACCAAGTAACCCTATTCTGTCAAGTAGATTATTTGATGATTAAATAGGTAACTTAATCGAATTTTGTAAAGTTTATCACACAGTTGAATTAAAGTGGACAAACTGCCTGCCATCTTGCATACGCTGCTTGTAGCCTACTTTATGCAGCATTGATATAATATAAATTATATCATTGTGCCAAAAGAGCCCACTTTTCTGTCATTTTGAAATTTGCATTACATTCTCATGACCCTTTCTTTCTTTCTTTCTTTGCATTTTTCTGCATCTTTTGTTGTTTTTTAATTTCTTTATTATATTTG